AAAGCGTTTACTTCAAATGAGAAAGTCAAAAATAACCTGGATCAGTTTTATGCCAGCAATTAACAAAAAAATTATGAGCACGGAATCATGCTACTGCCAGATAGATGGCAAAAGGTATTGGACAAAAATGGATAATGATGAGTAATATATAACTCAATAAAATGTAAGATAATTGTAAAAAGTTTAGAGCTATAATAATGATGATCATGGATAGTTCCTTATATATATTTGCTTGTCAGGATCGGTTGGGCGTTGTTCTTTTTTTTAAATTGGTATCCTTTGTAACCGATTTGTTTGTATTTCAAGCGAAAGAGGCAACATTCATTTTCAAAGAAAGACCTATCGCTTCTCAAAGCGATCCGTTCACGTTGGAGTGCCACTTGAGTCTGTCACACTGGCCGAAAGAGCGCCCATTTGTCTACCAAATTAAATGTCATGTTCAGATCGTTTTTCTGGCTGTGGATACAATGTCTCAGAATGAAATTATAACGTTAAAGTTTCGAAATTAACTATCTACGATTCGTGTTTACAATAAACTTGATAAAGAGCACCATTGCTCCCACAATTGCGTGCATTATTTTTACAATTCAGTCGTATTTTTTTAAGGTCCCGCGAGGTTTCTTGCTGTTTTTCTTAGGACAAAAAAGTGATTTTCAAACTAGTGGTAAATTAAACTTAAAATTATTTATTTATATAAACATATTGAGTTTAAAATTCTATAAGTTTTAAGAAAAATTAAATATATAAATAAATATGAACAACAATTACGATTCCAAATTCATGTGATTCATATTTTAGTGACAAGACAACGAAACACTTCTAGGATGGAGCCTTTTTTTTATATAGAATACGTTGTAATTCAAGTAAGTGTATGCTGTGGTCCATAGACAACTACCTCTAACCTCGAATAAGAATAAAAATGCAGATGTGTTGTCACCCCTGAGGACCAAGATGGAATGCCTCGATTCCAGTAAAACGCTTCTCCGGTTCTCTACACTCACCGTACGAAACAAAGCAGCAATAATGCTACTGTTATACGCTGGTATTCTGTGAGAGCATGATCCTTCCCCGTTCGAGCCGACCCTTTGCTACAACGATAATATAGCTGCAGCGTGGTCTACTACGTTTTAACTATAATATTCTCTACTTTTCGTACATTTTAATTTTTACATTTTTTTTATTGATCCACCAACATTTGTATCATTCCTTACATGCTATTTAAATATAATGAAGCGATAAGAACTAAAATGTACAAATAATTACAGGCGGATACAACATGCAAATAACTTTCTCAGCACTGTGTATCTCTATTACTAGGATAAAGAAAGAATTAAAAATTAAAAGAAATTATAAGTAAATACAAATAAAAATATATAGAAGCGAAAAGGAAATAACATATTTTATAGAATGTTACAAAAGATGGACTCTTAAGGTGCGACGGAGCTTGTGAGGTGGGTCGAAAAATATATCAACTTTATCTCTAAATTTGTTAACAAGTTTACTTAATCTAGCAATTGGGGAATTGGAACCAAACACTGTTCTTCTATATGGTCTAGTCAATGGTGTAATCTTACGAGCGTAAGGCGGGTAACGAAAGGGAACGCATATATTAAATTTACTTAAAATTTCAGGACAGTCAATAACACCACTAATAATTTTAGAAGCAAAAATCAAATCAATAATATCCCTGCGGTTTTCAATAGAAATCATTTTGAAATTGATCAAATTATTTTCATATGATACACGCTTCTTATTACTTCTAAATCCGCTTGCGTATGACAAATGTCTTATAAATCTTTTTTTGGATCCCCTCGATTCTCAGTGAATGTGTAGCGTAATGAGGTCTCCAGACTACAGCACTGTACTCTAATATACTTCTTACCAAACTGTTAAATAAAAGAATTTTAATTTTAGCATTTCGAAAGACTTTGATATATCTTATGACAAAACCCAACATTCTAGATGCACGTTTAGTAATGTTTTCAATGTGCGGTACGAAAGTTAATTTTTTATCAAATATGACCCCGAGGTCCCTAATTTCGTCTAACTGCTGTATTTTATTACATCCAATGTGATAGCTATGGTCGATAGTGTTACGTTTTCTCGCATATTGCACATAGAAACATTTACTAATGTTTAATTCCATACGATTTACTTTGCACCATTTAATCAGTTGATCAAAATCGTTCTGTAGCTTTATTGAATCGTTCTCTTCCACAATCGTCTTGCAAATTTTTAAGTCATCTGCATACAAGTACACACGAGACCATTTCATCAACTCTGGAATTTCATTTACGAACACCCCAAACAGAATCGGTCCAAGGTGAGACCCTTGGGGCACACCGGAATTGATATTTTTTAAGCCTGACTGATATCCATTCACCACCACAAAAAACGCTCGGTCCTTTAAATACGATTTTAGCCATTTTAACATACTACGAGTAATGCCATAGGCAGCTAACTTACGAACCAATATGTCATGTGGGACCCGATCAAATACTTTGCTAAGATCAGTATATATTACGTCGACTTGTTTCCCCGCATCAAGTGCTTCAATTAGTATTTCCGTAATATGTACCAAATTAGTGCTCGTAGACCTAGATATAATAAACCCATGTTGGCTAGTGGTTAAGTAAAGATTGATATGTCTCTGAATATAAGAACAAATAATTGACTCTAATAATTTAGCAAAGACTGATAATATAGCGATCGGCCTGTAATTTCTTACATAATCCTCACTGCCCGTTTTATGAATCGGAACGATTTTAGCTATTTTCCATAGAGTAGGAATTTGCCCAGTGCAAAGAGAAAAATTGAATATTATTAATAGTGGATTAACAAGGTGATCAACACATCTGACTACAAACACTGGAGGGATTCCATCAGGACCTGCTCCTTTATTACATTTAATGCTTTTTAATTTATTTAATAGGGTATCATGATCAATTTTCAGCTGTGCTAGGTGAAGGCTATGTAAATTTCAATTAATTTCAAGGACTCTGAATGGTCATAAACATTATCCTGCTCTGTACATTTAGTATTTTCAGAGTACACGGATGAAAAGTGTGAAGAAAAAAGTTTGCAAGTTTCCACTCCGTCAGAAGTTACCGTCGTACCGTCAGTCATTGATAGGGGATAGGCGCCTGAACCACCACGTTTCGCCTTGACAAAGGACCAAAACAGTTTTGGGTTTTTTGCTATGTCACACTCTATTAGTTTTATATATTTGTTGTAGCAATTTGTGGCCATTTGCGTACATTTTTTACTTAGCAATTGCAGTTCAAGCTCATCTCTAGGATTTTTATATTTCTTGTGACGACACCTAACTTTATACCTTTCTTTTAGAGTTCTAATTAGATTCCGATCAAACCAAGGTAGATAGTTGTTGTTCTTCGACGATTTGTTGGGGACAAATTTTTTGATAATATCCCGTATTTTCTGGTAGAAAATTTGTAGCATATTATTTACATTTGTCAACCCATCAAGTAGCTTGACCCAATCACAACTCGCATAGTATTTGTAAAGAATTATCTTTACAAATACTATCATAGTCAGCTCTATAAAAATTTTATTGTACGTTTTCAGTGTTATAAGGTAATCTTATTTCATTTAATAGCTTAATACTTATGTCAAGAGGAGGATGGTGCCTGTCAACTTTAGTGAGGGGGCAAAGTGCCTGTTCTACTGTGCAGTTTGGTAAATTTGCAATAACCAAATCAAGTGTTCTATTTAAACTCTGATTCTTTATACGACTGTACTGCTTCAAATCATTGACGTTTAAAAAATCAATAAATGACTGACTAACAGTGGAAAGCTCGCATTTCGCAGGATCCTCATCTAACAAGCTCCAATTTATGGAAAATAGATTAAAATCACCCACTATACAATGTAGACACTTCTCTTCCAGGACGCTAGTATATGTGTCATAAAATTTACATAAGTTACATTTTTTACAGGAGATGGTAAATAAATGGCACAGAAAGCAATTTGATAAATTGAGTGTGAAACTGGCGCTTCGACTAAAACCCATAAATCCTCCAGATCCGACTCCCAAGCTTTTAAACGCTTTGATTTTAATTTACTAGATACTGCTATTAAAACCCCCCTCCCTCTTTCTTAGTAATACTGGCAGAAGATCTATCTCTTCTATATACTACATATCTAGGGTCAAAAAGTTTACTACTCGAAACAGAATCATTTAGCCATGTCTCAGTGAGTATTATTATTTCATAGTTGTTACATAGTATTTGATTATAGAAACCATGTGTTTTGGTCTTAAGACCACTACAATTTTGATAGTACAATTTTAGCGTATCGTATTTTATTAAAAACCTTACCATATAACAGACAATAAGAAAGAAAGGAACAAAAAGAATTACTTAAATAAGTTTTTTTAGAGTTTCTAAACTTTTTACCAGAATATAGTCACTCTCATCGGTCTTCCTCATAAATATTCTGCCATTACGCACCCACACATATTTATATCCGCTCTCCCTTGCTTTGAGTCTAGCCGCTGCATGAATAGCCTTATTCACTGGGGATAGATGTTCAGTTACAAAAACAGGAGTGGTGTGACCTATTAATCCAAGATGTGTAGCATTAAGTCTGTTTTGTGAATTCACCTTGTTGTATTTTGAGGCCATCGCCAATATTTTATCACGAATCCTAGGCGAAGCTAGATGCACTATTATAGATCTTGGATGCTTGGATTCGCGATTTGGCAGTACGTGTACAATGTAGAATGTCATTTTCATGCAGAGAGCTACCAATGACTTCACTCAACTTTGTTATCATTGTTGTAAGATTTTAATTTCTTGACTCAGGATCGTTCGAGAGTTCTAAATTACATTGACGGGAGTGTTGTTCTATTTGATTTACTCTCTGAGCTAATGCATGTACAGTTCCTTTCAGTTCTGTATTCTCTTTCTCCAAAGCTGTTACTTTTAGTTTAGAGGCTTCATTTTCTTTCTTTATGCCTTCATACTGATCATTAATGAATGTTAAGATTCCTTAATACTCGACAATTCATCTCTCATTGATTTAATTTCCTTCGCGAAGAATCCAACCAAGTTTTCATTGAATCTTTTAAATAGATCGTTCATTTTATCATCCATCACACCTTCTACCACTTGACGGATGTCTTCCATAGAAATGTTCACTTTTTCGGGATCAGACTGTGGCGATCCAATTGCTATTCTTTTGTTTCCTCTTACGGTACTGACATTTCTCACAGGTGTATTATCTTTATTTGCCGTTTTTGGTTGTAGGTGGACACATTCAGGGCATGCCCATGTCGCTAGTAAATCAGAGGTAATAATTTTACGATCAATTATCATACATGCATAATGATATTTTCTTTCACATTTAACGCAAACAATAAATTCGTCACAGTTATCATTTTCGGAAAAGCAACAGCCCCAATTTGCATTAGACATCATAAATCCACTCAAATATAATTAGGTTACGATCAAAAGACAAACCATACGATCTTGTACTCGTGGATGCAAATTATTTATTATTAAAGTCCGCCAGTAGTCCGTAAGTATTTATTTTATCAAAGTCCGCTGCTGAACATAGGCCTCGCTATAAATTGTCTCACAATGAGAATATATACCATGGTTGCCACGCTTGACAATCTGAGTTCCATAACCCAGTTCTATTTATAATAGTTGGTATTTGAAAGATGCTGATGCCCGTCACCTGGTTTGTTTCCCACTGTCGCCTCTTACGACACTCACGGTACGATATGGAGTATTGAACATTTTTACACTGCCATGACACGGTCGTACTCATACTAAAATCATATTCTACAAAAAGATCTATTCAATATGTAACTAGAACCACATAGTTTTCGTTAAGTGATCAGAATAAGTATTCAAAAGTATAGAATTAATTTTACTTCAGAAAACTCGATTATAAAGAAATGAAATTAAATTAAAATAAACTTTTGTTTGCTTATATAAACTATTGTTTGTTTATTTAATAATATAGGGCATTAAGTTTTAAGTAACATTTACCTATATTTGAGTTTAAAGTAAACAAATCTATTTTATTTTGTTCACTTTGTGTTATTTTTTTTATTTAATATTATTTCAGTTGCCATCGTCATCGCGTGAGTGTCATGATTGCTGGCGAAGGACTGATAAAGCAGCATCACGTTTAACTTTAGAACGGGAACCATCTGAATCATCTAGTCCGTCTTCGTTGCAATCTAAAGTGAGTAATGTATTGAACCTAGAACAGCAATGCATAGATCATACATCGTACAATATACTGCTGCCTAATTTTGTAAGAGCCACTCACACAAAATATTTTTTCCTAGTTGTAACAAATCCAATCAACTCACTGTTCCATCAACATTGCGGGTATGTCTTTTTGCGAATACAACGAATACCTCCAAAATGTAGAATCAGTAACTACCATTTAAATAGTAACTCTTGGTATTGTTACGAGCTTGAGGTGCATGACAATAAAAACTGCCGATTGAATTACCAAAATTAACACTTTAATCACCGAACATCAATTAAAACTTAAAAACACTAATAATTAATCACACTGATTCACTTTATTCCGCTCCGAAGCTTCGCTTGTCTCGCCAAATTCAATACTTCCTCGATCGCATACTGCAGCGCTTTTAAATACACATTACACCGAAACATCCAGAATATTCAAGTAAATACGCGCGCCAATCGACAGGCGTGTCGGGCCTCTAGAAAGCTTAGTTCTTCATTTCGATACTAGATGGCGCTGTCGGTTGAAAGATTAGTGATGTCATTTTCTGGAAAGCTCTCCTCGCTCCGTTACCCGACACAGATGGCGCTAGTGCCAGACGTCAACTTAGGCGCGCAACAGTATTTACTTTTAGAATCAATATATAACCATATTAAAACATTTAGTGTAGCACAAATTATAGATTTTTCTACATTATTGTAATATATACCATAATATAGACTTTGAAAAAATTCACAGTATGCCTGAACATACTGTACATTATTATCTAGGCTTATTAAAGGCACAATACCAACAAATTCTGTCTGAAGTTCCCAAAATGTCAAGTAAACATAGTGGATGTTTTGCACTTGCTGTATATTTGATGAAAGTAAGAACAGGAGATACGGCATTATTGCAAGTGCCAAGAAACAAATTAGAGTGGCTCATGAATATGGCCAGCGAAATATTAAATCAGGATGTTGTTTCTATGAATTTTATCCATCGTTACCACTCTCTGTGCCTAATTCCATTCAGTAATTACGATATTATATTAGAGGCAAAAAATTTCTTAGCTTTCCTAGATGTTTTTGTTATCCAAAATCTAACAATATCATAGGTCACACTGCGTATAGAAAAAAACCCATACAAACTGATATTTAAGCGGTAAATCTCACCATCATCCTTCACAGTTAGTTACCATGAGCAAATCTTTGTTACAGAGAGCATATGGGATCTGTGAGAGCAAGCACCTGGCCGCGGAGCTTCAGCACGTCAAGCAGGTTCTGCACAGAATCAAACTTCGGGTCCCGCGTCTACGTCACAGTGACCGAGTGAAGCCGACCGCAGCTGACGTGTGCCTGCTGTACTACCCTATGTCAAGGGTGTCACCCCAACCAGATAGACATTCATCAGATTTGATAGACCAGAAATCCTCGCGAAAGAACCTTAATTCCTACCAAGGATGATATGTGAGGCTATTGAAATTAAAAAAATACTCTAATTTCAATAGAGAAGGCGGTTGGGTACTACCACCTGCTTGGGACACTATAATTAATAAAATTAAAACTAAACCCAAGCATACCACTGCAAGACATAAAGATAGAGTAAGTTCAATCTGCGTAGATTGGACTATAAAAATAATAATAAAAAACTTAAGGTACTCCATGTTAATACTGCCTGGGTTGGCAGTCACCTCAGTCCCCCGTAACCATAGGTGCTATAAAGCACCTGAAACGTCGTGTAACGTTGCTTCTGAATGCACCCTTACACTTATAATTGATTAATCTTAAATCTTAAATAAATAATAGTAATATAATATTCTAATGTAAAAATAAAAAGTAACGAATTATTACATATTGTTAATTTAAAATAGTTATTCTACGGAACCATAGACTAGTTAATTTAATCCGCGCAGCGTGAACCATTTTGCTCAACGATCTCTAAAACAAAAGACTCGGTAGGTTTCGGACACGACGGCGAGTCCCCGTTCGGGCCATTCCTCTTGCATTTCTACCTGAGACCGCTTCAAGTTCGCAACGCGCGTGACCCTTCTACTAACGACTTTTGAACCTGCTTACCTACAATTTAAATTATTCGAGGTGCAGTTGATCCCGCTGGGGTGAGTTCTTATTTATTGAAACATTGTAACTGTTCTGCTTAATTAATACCTCTTTTGCTGAGGCTGCTTAGTGCTTAGCTTTAAGAATTTTAACTTCCTACAAGGGGTGCTGGAATTGACTAGGGCGCATATAGTGCAATAGGAAGTTCCCTAATGCTGGCCTCCGTCTGGAATTCCAGGACCTACTACCACCTAGCATCTACCTGCTACCTAAGCATCTACCTGCTACCTAAGGGCTACTGCTGCCGAGCCGCGAGCTAACGGAGCGTTGGCCTACCCTCCTACCAACGGCCATCATCACTATCGGCTTGGGCTTCACCGGCCCTTCTGCTAACTGGCTGTCTACGGCCTTGGGGGAACAGCGCTTGGACTTCGCCCCTACGTCAGGCCAGTGATCCCCTTAATAGAATTACTTGTACGTGTGCGGAAGTAAGATAAATAAATAATTACAATACCGTAAATCTTGGATTTTTAAGAACCCACCTATTCTGTACCCCTAACGGCACAGTCGGGAATTAAAAGTTAAAGAAATTAAAAGCAATAAAATTGGTAAAAGTAGTCGTTAAAAAACTGTATTTGTGAAAATTCCCGACTTTTTTAAACCAATTTCTAAACCATTTCATTATTTTAATTGCATATTATCATTTCCATATGCTTTTATATGTGGGCACCCATGGCCGAAGTGTCTATGAACAGTGGGCATTCCCCTTTGCAGTTATAATTGTACGTGATTTTATTACCTCTTACTGACACGCGCATCATTAAAGCGGGGTCTTTGAAAATATTCTTACCCCCCGGTCAATGCAGAGGTAATAAAACTACATAACTTTTAATTATAACTTTTAATTATATACAATAAATAATGTTCTTTTTTTCTTTCCCGATTGTCGAGTTTTCTAAAGTAAAGCTAAACGTTTGAAAACTGATTCTGATAACGCACTTAACGGGAACCACTGGGTTTTCGTTATATGTTGTATACGCTGCTCAACTTAAACAAACAAAGGTAAATTCATTTATCTTTCCGTCTTCCACAGCTCCCCATTCAAGGCTAATTTATCACATATACAGCACTCAAAGCAATTCGTAACAATAAATATAAGTTACGATTTGACAAAAGACCCCCGTCTAGATGGAGGCGACTGGATTTATCGCAGCCATAAGCGGCCCTCATTTCTAAGGGAATGTGAGTGATGAATTGATAGCGTATGTTTGCTTCTACTGCAATACTTTCTGCTGTTCTTGATGTGACAGAGTCATCTCCAGTCAAATCAATTTCTAAGGAGGGTTGCAATGTTTTAGAAGATTTTTATACTACGGACTCATTAAACGGACTCTGAGTTTACGATGCTTTTTATTGTTAAATTGCACAATTAGTCATTAGTTTAACTTAGAGATAAGTAAGATAACTGCAATGCAGCAATTATTGATTCCTCATACTCCTTGCTGCGTCGGTCAAATTCATCGATTTTTCACTGAAGATGATCCCTTTCTTTTGAAATTTTGAGGGATTCCTCATATTCCTTGCTGCGTCGGTCAAGCTCATCGATTTTTCACTGAAGCTGATCCCTCTCTTTTGAAAATTTGAGGGATTCCTCATATTTCTTGCTGCGTCCCCTTTCTTGTGCGATCCCTTTCTTTTGAAAAATTCATATATTCTTCATGCAATTTAATCATATCACTTTTAACTGTATATTTTGAAACTTATGTGTACTAATTCCTTTTTATTGTAATCCCTTTCATTAAGCAACAGTTTACATTGCTCCTTGAATGCCTTGATTTTCTGGAGCGCAATTAATGGAAGCATTGTGCGAAAACAAAGAAAGAAAATTAAAAAAGTAGAGTTAGCATATTTCTTGTTATATGACTTTATTTACAGACCGAAAACTAAGTAATTCAAAATGAAATCTGAAACAACAACACTTATTTAATAATTAAATTGAAAAAAGCGACAGTAGCCTAATGGCAGGGCGCGGACCGCGAACTCAAAAAGGTCGTGGGTTCGAATTCGCCATTCGACTACTGGCGTGAACCACTCGTAACACAAGCAATTTAAGCTTACCACGAGTGGTTAAGGGGAATATTAGTAATGTTTATAGCATTATTAAT